TGATTCCATATATACTCATTGATGTTGCCTTTTTTAAGACATTTGCCTTTTATATCTTTGATTGTAAAAGGCAAGGAAAAGGGTCATATTCCTGATAATATGAAAGTTTTAAACGTCCATATTTAAATATTATTTAAATATTTATTAGGAGAAGACGCAAATCATTTCCGTCTTGAAATAAACGTCCCGAGACGAAAAAAGCTAAAAATCCCATATAATTACTATGAGAAGACGTAAATCATATTCGTATCGAAATAAACGCCCCGAGAGACGAAACAAACTAAAAACTCCATATATGTAATTACTATAAGAAAACGTAAATCATTTTCGTCTTGAAATAAACGTCCCGAGAGATGAAAAAATATAAAAATTCTATATAATTATTATGAGAACACGTAAATAATTTCCGTCTTGAAATAAACCTTTCGCGATGATATGCCGAAAATAATTTACTTTTTAAAATAATCGTCCCGCGAGACGAAAGCAACTTTTCCATTGTTCAGTAATAATTATAGAGTACTATTTAATTGTAATTAAAGTGTCTGTCAATTTTTAAACCTTTTTCGCATTCTGTGCTCTCTTGTAACCGGTGAATCTGGTTACCATCTCATAAGCTGGTAACATAATATTGCCACGAGAAATATGCAATACAGGAATTTCCACAAATCTTCATAGCTGAATTGCTGAATATTTCCACTGCATTACCAACGTACCTAGAATCGCGGTGACAAGAAGTGGTAACATTTTTTGGTAATAAAATTTTCTGTTCACAAAATCTTCGGTAACGTGCAGAATAGACCTGTTATAATCGTTATGGTCCATGATATAAAGTATGCTCGACAATTTCATAATTTTTTTTTTTACATACATACATAAATACTCAGTAGGGGTTTCGCTATAAAATGATAATTTTGAACACTATACTAATAAGAACCAGCCTGTATCTCAATGAAAATTTCCGCGACAACCACAAAAATGCAGTTGCCAATATAGTAACTTAGTAGCCACCTTTCAGTTGGCAGTTGCCATCCGTAATCGACCCAGAAAATGTATTCTTTTTCGGCTGAATCTTCTACTTACCAAATGTAATATTACGTACCGGTCCTGCTTCCAATACTCCCAACCCTATTTTTGACATGTGCTATAATAATCTATGGTTTGTAGAATTTATCTGAAAACAATTGGCGATTTGGTAATACCCAACCTATTCAGCCTTATCATGAGTTAAATTTTCGCCAGATCCGGTTCACTTTTGAATTTTCGCTTCCGTGTGTTAACTATGGACGGATGAAAAAACTTCGGGTGGATTTGTTGTTCTCTTCTTCTAAATTCCGTTCATAAATAAAACATTTTTTTTTTTTGATTTATTAACGTCGTATGTACATACATACATATCTATATAGTTTATTATTTTAATGCTAGCATTTTTTCGGGCATTATGAAATTTGCAAAACGTCTAACAATGCACCTGCTGATCCTTCGCAGTTATAAGTCAAAAAACAAAAACAAACACTTTAAATTTACGAAATTAAACATAGAATGTAATTTTAGATCACATTAAAGGCTGTTGGAAAAATTTGACGTCGGAAGGGTTTGATTGCTGTGCTGCTTTCAATAATTCAGCTAAATTAAAAAATTCTAAATGAACGTTTATGTCTTTTGCTGAGCATTTAAATGAAACGAACAGGACACAATGTTGGATAAATTGGAATTATTTAACTGAACAAAGATTACCAAGAATATCCACGACTGTTAACATTTTTTTGTATCTAAATTATTTTTAAAATGTTTTACCACAGTTCCAGTCGTTTTTTGTTCCTTAATTTACTTTAAATGATAAATAATTATGGATATTTTTCTTTCGTTTCGGCTTATTTTTATTAACATTCTAATTTATTGTTTTCGATCTGTTTTGTAATTAATTACTTCTATTTAAAGAACTAATTAAATATATGTATGTATGTATATTTTTAATAATATTTCAGAGAAAGGGAGGCCTTAATGTTGTCACACAGAGGGGAGGTACCTATAGTTTTACACCGACTTCGAACGGTGATTGTATATTTTTACGTTGGTCGGTTTTTCGGCCATCGAAACAGAGCATCAAGAAAGCAATATTGCGGTAATTATTGCTGGAACAGACCCCATATTTTGTTCCTGCAAACCGTCTGAGTTAACCTCCGCAGTGGAAAAATCAAATCACACTTTGAACAGTTATGTGAGAAGTTTTATTGTCCAACCCACGTTTGGTTTTTGAAGTCCATTAAATAAATCTGAGTTCGTATGGAATAGTAGCTTATGTCGGGAAGCTGGCTTTAGTAAAATGCGGCATTCCCTTTATTCTTTAAATGACGCGGAATTTTTTGTTGAGACTTAATAAGATTTTTGACTTGCTAGTATCGGAACTATTTCTTGCACGTGTATTTGCCAAAAGTTCTTCAATGGCTCGGCGGCAGTGAGCCATTCGCAATCGTATGCTGCGCATGCCGCATTATACTAAAGCCAGACTTTCGACATAAGCTACTATTCCATACGAACACAGAATTAAAAAAGGAAAGATGTAATTTAATACTCTATTAATATTTAACTTTGCTTGATAAGTTCGCGCCGCTTCCCCTATTTGTATTTCGCCACCCACATTATCCTCTTAACCTACAATCAGGGTATGCTCATCAAGGAACGCATATTGTGGCACTTCTAAATTAAGCGGTGCAGGGCCTTTGCGTACACGCCCAGACGCATCAAAGTGCGAGCCATGGCAAGGACAGTAGTAGCCACCGAAGTCGCCTGCATTTGCAATTGGCACACAACCCAAATGTGTGCAGACACCGATCACCACCAGCCAATGTGGATCCTTGACGCGTTTATCGTCTGACTCTGGGTCGCGTAGGGTCGATATTTTCACCGAACGCACATCCTGGATT